AGGAGGATTCTGGGAGGTCACATGACATAAGTGTACTCTTATTTCTCTATAATAAAAAACGCAGACCTGACTGAGAGGTGAGGAGGATTCTGGCAGGTTACATGACATCACTCTTGTCTATTCTGGTCAATAGACCCATTTTATTTTTGCACCACATTTTTAGATGATGTGTCAGGTGGTTGATATTGTTTTATTTGTCTCCTGATCTGTAGGATTATGTTGTAAAGAAGAAGTCCTAGTGGGGAGCCAAAAATCTCAGGAGGATGGAGCAGAACCGGAGCCTCACCTGGTGCCTCCATCTCATTCTCTGATACCCTGAGAGGGAGAAAGAGCAGAAGATTCTGGAATGACCACCATGATGGTCCATCAGCTGACAGGAGAGGTGAGCGGTGCTGGGGAATTCTGGGACATTCTCCAGTAACAGACAAGGGATGTGTCTGGATGGTGACTGTATCATTGTGTGTGTCAGGTTCCTATAAGGTGTCAGGGTGTCACTGTCTATTTCTCCATGGAGGAGTGGGAGTATTTAGAAGGACACAAGGATCTCTACAAGGACGTCATGATGGACAATCAGCAGGCTTTCAGGAAGATTGTAAGGAAGGAATTTCCCCGGAATGAGACGATATTGAAGCCTTCACCTTCTGGAGATCCTCAGCCTGCTGACTGGAGAGGTGAGTGTAATGAAGGGGTTAAATCTGACTCGGCTGTACACTGGGAGGTATTCAGAGTCACTTGAAGTCTTCTGATGTTCTGTAATCAATAACGACATCCACACAAGTACTATGAATACATAAAAAGTGTCCGGACTCTATGAGATTTGGTTATAGCACAAGATGGCGGCATTGGTTATAGAAGAGAAACAATCACAGCTTTCGTCCAATCAGGGAGACCCATGATTACCAGCATGCCACGCCCACTGACCACTAAATCCATGGGTGACATTTCCTGGTGGGTCAGTGAGCCTTACTAGTAAACCATTAGTGACTCTATTATATGACTTCTAGAAGGAGCTATAATCTGACCCATTGTCATCATATCATTGGATGGAGATGTCTGTCCTTTGCTGAGTCGGCACATTGTGGCCAATCCCTGGAGAATAAATCTAGAGCTGACCATAGAAGTGCGGGATTATGGGAGAGTGAGATTTCTCTTTGTATCACACAGAACTGTACAGGAGTCATGAAGAAATCTACCGACAATGACACCAGAAGGAGATCTCATCGTATGACCACAAGATCCTCGAGAATCCAGAATCCCATCACCATCCCCCCACCTCCATCCCTGATCCCTACAAGACAGAAGACACAGAAGATTCTAGAAGTCACCAAGAAGATGATGGAGCTGCTGACAGGAGAGGTGAGCGGTGCCGGGAATTCTGGGACATTCTCCAGTAACAGACAAGGGGATGTGTCTGGATGGTGACTGTATCATTGTGTGTGTCAGTTCCTAATAAGGTGTCAGGGTGGAATTATTGGTAGTTGTGATTTATACACAGCATGTTTGTTACAATGAATGTTTTATTATATCTTTCAGAGTGGAATCCTCGGGGATGATAATATTGATGTTAAAAGAAGAGTATAAAGAGGAGGATGAGGAGTATGGAGTGATGGAGGAGTTTTCAGAAGGACACAAGGATATGATGGAGCCACCTAATACCAGGAACCCACCAGAGAGATGTCCCCGTCCTCTGTATTCCCGGGATTCCACACAGGAAGGTCACACCATCCCTCACTATTACAAGGTTGGTGGGATGGAGAATCTAGAACATGGACTTGTAGAGACTATGGGCTCCAATCACAAAGCGGTATCTTCCCGTATCCCAGTATGTAGTAAGATGCTGCATTCTGTTTTTTAGTAGTGAAGCCTGCGGGGAATTTACCACTGGTGTCCATAGCAACACTTGTAAATAGCTTGTTGTTAAGGAGAGGGCAGCCGCCAGTGTCCTCAACAACCAATAAACAAGGAGGGGACGGTTGCTAAGTTCCCCGCTGACAGCTGTGACAGGTCTGGTATGGATTTTGAGGGGAACCCTGATACTAAAATAATAAAAATAAAGGCGTGGGTTCCCTCCAAAATCAATACCAGACCCTTAGTGAGTGCCCTCCTTCCTCCTGAACCATACTAGGCCACATACCCTCAACATTGGGTGGGTGCTTCAGGGCAGGAGCACTCTGCCCCCCCAAAAACACTTTGTCACCATGTCAATGGTGACAAGGGTTCCATCCCCAGAACCCTTGGCAGTCGTTGTGGGGGACTTATTGAAATCTGGAAGCCACCTTTAACAAGGAGGCCCCCAGATCCCAGCCCCCCCACAATGTGAATGAGTATAGAGTACATAGTCCCCCTATTCATTCACCCAAAAAAATGTAGTTTAAAAAAACACTGGAAGTTATTTTTGACAAAACAAAAATAAAGAAAAATGTCACCCTGATGTAGATCCATCGATGATCCAATCACAATACTCGCTGTCATCGCTGACTCAAAGAAAACACAAAGCTCCCCTCCTGCCATCTCACAGCTCCAGCGCCTCCCACTTCTAAATAAACTAAGGAGTGCTACCACCGTCATGTCACTGGGTGGCCTTGCCCTCTTGTGACATCACCAATACAACATGTCCCGGTCAGTGACATCACCAATACAACATGCCCCGGTCAGTGACATCACCAATACAACATGCCCCGGTCAGTGACATCACTGAGTGGCACCGTCCCTTAGTATATTTAGTGGCAGGAGGCAGCAGAGCTGTCAGACAGAGGGGAGTCTTCATTGGGAGCGGAGCTTTTCTTTCCGATTCAGCGGTGACAGCGAGCATCGTGATTGATGATGGATCTACACCGGGGGGACATTTTGCTTTAGTTTTGTTTTTTTAATAAAGGACTTGTCAAAAACTGCCTGCTGTCTTTTTAACAGAATACTTTTTTTGGGGTGAATAATTAGGGGTACCATGTATCCCATACTCATTTACATGGGGTGAAGGATCTGAGGGCCCCCTTGTTACATTTTGTAAGTCCTCTGCCTGCAAACCCCCACAGCCACTAGCCTGAGTTGTGAGGAAGAGTCCCTTGTCCCCATCAACATGGACAAGGTGCTCTGGGGGAGCAAAGCCCCCCCTGCAACAGAACATCCACTCCATGTTAAGGGCACATGGCCTGGTATTTTTCAGGCGGGGGGGTCGCTTGCTCATCCCGTTTCCTGACCTGCCGGGCTGCATGCTCAGATAGGGGTCTGGTATGTATTTTTTCATTTTGGCAAGGGGTCCCCCTCAAAATCCATACCAGACCGCCCAAAGGGGGGGGACCCCACGCCATTTTCTTAATATTTTGTTGCCAGTAATTCTTTTTTTTAGATTTATCGGTTGGTTAGGACGCGGCAGCCGCTCGCTCCCTAACAACCATGTTGTTTACTGGTTGTTATGGATGCCAGCGGCCGCCCACTCTTTTTACCAAGCAGTACACATTTCCTGAATGCCGCATGTCTCCACCACTAATTAATGACCGCATGCATTTCATTCTTTATTTCCTTCTGTGAATGTAACGCCTGTTCATGCGGTATTTACTGAGCGTGTTCAGTGTTTGTGGTCAATACCGCAACACGGGATAGGAAATGGACAGTTTCAGGATGGCATGCGGTATTTAGGGGAAATGTACCGACATATCACATGTGATCTGCTTCTGTGAAGGGAGACAATGTGTGGATTTTGTGTGTGATGTCACAATCATAAATCTTACATTTTACAGATGATATTCTCTCATTCCTTGATTTAGAGTGGAGATCCAATCGATATAGAATTTGAGGTGAAAGCAGCAGAAGAAGAAGAGGCGTATGTGAGGGATGATCAGCAGTCTATGGAGGAGGATGGAATAACGGGGACATTTATAGAGGAGGACACTCCTACAGAGATCAGCACAGGTGGGTCATGAACACTAAATCCATTCCTCCACCCATACTGCTCACTGATTGGTCCAGAGTAGGGCGGGGACTGGGTGATATCAGCCTGTAATCCCCTGGTCACTTTCCTGAGCTGTGTTCCCCGTCCTGTATTCCTGGATTTCTCTCGGATAATCTTCCTTCTCTGTGCTGCAGACACAATTTATGTATCTAGACTGGATTTATGGAGGTTCTGGGGTTCAGCTGGCAGCATTACTTGACCTAGGCACCTGGGGTGTGTGCTTTGAGTCTCCTTCCCCATGTCCGGGTCTAGTAAGATCTCTGACAGAACATTTCTCCCAGGGTTCCTTGCTCTGTGGTCTGCTGGCTGTGCGGGTGGAGGGATATGTCTGTATAGTCTCAGACCCAAGTCACTGAGTGCAGTCTCAGGAGATGGGAGGCAGCGGTGTGGGATCTCTGCAACTTGTCTACAGTTAACATTTAAGCTTCCACTGATTACTGAATACCAATATTATTGAGTCCTGACCCTTGCACTATATACTCTATGTTGTACATTACATACTCTTGACTTTTGCTCTCCACCCTCCCCCACTGTTATATATACACATAACATGGATTCTCTTTTGTTACACCCATTTCCTCCCAGCTGGACATGGTTGTTCTCCAACCATCCTCACTCTATGACCTCTGGTGGGGCTCAGCCAGTCCTGGTTTGGGGGAACCAATCAGCTCCTGTCTAGTAATCCTCTTTGTCTTTGTATTTTAGTCCATGGCCGGGAGATGAGGAAAACCTCCGAGGATTGTCTCACTTTGTCTCCAGACTGGAAAGTAGAAGATGAGGACATCACACAGTATAGTCCAGTAGAAAAACCCGGCTCCCTCCAATGTCCATCCTGCACCACCCAGTGTAGATGGACCATCGGATTCCTCGTATCCTGAGGAACCTCAGACTGTGCGGGACCGGCCGGCCTTCCAACAGGGAAGAGGTTCTCCTGTACTGAGTGTGGAGAAGGGTTTCCTGCGTAAATCAGAGCTTAATGTGCATAAAAGATCTCACACAGGAGAGAAGCCACATTCCTGTTCTGAGTGCGGGAAATGTTTTTCTATATAAGTCCAGTCTTTACAAACATCAGAGATCTCACACAGGGGAAAAACCGTATTCCTGTCCTGAGTGCAGGAAATGTTTTTCACTGAAGGAGAGGCTTGACAGACATCAGAGAACTCACACGGGGGAGAAGCTGTATTCCTGTCCTGAGTGTGGGAAATGTTTTTCACAGAAGTCACATCTGTACACACATCACAGATCTCACACTGGGGAGAAGTATTCCTGTCCTGAGTGCGGGAAATGTTTTTCAAAGAAGTCCAGTCTGCAAAAACATCAGAAACCTCACAAGGGGGAGAAGCCGTATTCCTGTCCTAAGTGCAGGAAATGTTTTTCAACAAAGTGCTATCTTTACACCCATAAGATATCTCACATGGGGGAGCAGTCATATCCCTGTTCCGAGTGCAGGAAATGTTTTTCAGACAAGGCCAGTCTTCACACACATCAGAGCTCTCATCATACGGGGGAGCAGCCATATTCTTGTCTTGAGTGCGGGAAATGCTTTTCAACGGAGTCTCATCTTTACATACATCAGAGATTGCACACAATGGTGCAGCCGTATCACTGTTCCGAGTGCGGGAAATGTTTTTCAGATAAGTCCAACCTTTCCACACATCAGAGATCTCACACAGGGGAGAAGCTGTATTCCTGTCCTGAGTGTGGGAAATGTTTTTCACAGACATCTGATTTTTACAGACATCAGAGAACACACACGGGGAGAAGCCGTATTCCTGTCCTGAGTGCGGGAAATGTTTTTCACAGAAGTCCAGTCTTCTTTACACACATCAAAGATCTCACACAGGGGAGAAGCCGTATTCCTGTCTTGAGTGCGGGAAATGTTTTTCAAAAAAGTCCAATCTTTACTCACATCAGAGATCTCACACAGGAGAGAAGCCGTATTCCTGTCCTGAGTGCGGGAAATGTTTTTCAGAAAAGTCTAGTCTTTACACACATCAGAGATCTCACACAGGGGAGAAGCCGTATTCCTGTCCTGAGTGCAGGAAATGTTTTTCAGTGAAGTCCAATCTTTACTCACATCAGAGATCTCACACGGGGGAGAAGCCGTATTCCTGTTCTGAGTGCGGGAAATGTTTTTTCTGACAAGTCTAGTCTTCACACACATCAGAGATCTCACACAGGGGAGAAGCCATATTCCTGTCCTGAGTGCGAGAAATGTTTTTTTTCAGAAGTCCAATCTTTATACACATCAGAGATCTCACACAGGGGAGAAGCCGTATTCCTGTCCAGAGTGCGAGAAATGTTTTTCAGACAAGTCCAGTTTTTTCACACACATCAGAGATATCATACAGGGGAGAAAGCCGTATTCCTGTCCTGAGTGCGGGAAATGTTTTTCACAGAAGTCCCATCTTTACAGACATCAGAGATCTCACACAGAGGAGAAGCCACTTTTTTGTCCTGAGTGAGGGAAATGTTCTTCACTGAAGTCCTGTCTTCTTGTACATCAGGGGTCCCACACAACCCTGGAGGTGTATTAGTGCCTTGAGTGCGGGAAATGTCTTCTAGATGAATGTTGCTGGGCATCCCAGCTCTCATGTGGGGAAGAAGCACACCCTGATATACACCTCAGATATACTCCATGGCTGAACTTCATCATGGAAGAAACAGTTGATAAGGAGATTAGAGGCCCCTAAAGACATGGATGAAGTGTGGGACCGGGTTGGCCATTGATAGCAGGAGAAGAATAAAAAAATGGAGTCCTGCCATACAGCACTGGGCTGACTTCTCATTTGGGTGCAGCCTCTATGCTAGAGATGGTTTTTACCTAAATGGATGGAAGGGGCTCTGCTGTGCTGGGGGAGGGGTTTATGGGAAGGCTGGAGGAGTATATAAACTCGGATGGAGGTTTAACAGCATATACCCAGAGATGGACGCGGTTCAACCATTTTTGGTTTCAACCTCCATCTTGGCAAAGGGTTCAACTGTCCTGACACATATATTTCTCTCTTATCCTTCCCCCACCCCTCCCTCTCACTGAGAGGAGACATCTGGCCAGTGTGTATGTGTACTGTTGATGGGTCACTGGCCTGGCAAGTCATCTATAGCTAGGTGCCGAGCTGTCTGTGAAAGCTGTATCCTTTCTCACCTAGGAAGAGATAGGACCAGTTTTCCAAGAGAGCTGGAGTCTCAGTGGGCAAAGTACCCGTGTAATTTCACACCTCGTAAACAAGATAAGGAGCTGTCCCAGGAGTTGAAAGGGACTAATAAACCTAGGTCAGCGTAGGTGACAGAATTAGATGAACACACTCAAATCAATTTCTTCCCTATGTCTCTATCTTGGTCTGGTCTTGGAATATGAGAGACATAAAAACCGGACACCTCATCAGATGGCCAATGAGCAGGCGAACAGTATAACGGGTCACTCGCTTATCTCGGACCCTCAGGGGAGCTGAAACATAGAACTTATGAACCGTGCAATATTTAATTTCGTAATTCATATCTAAATAATCCTCAAACTTATCTGCATAATAATATACCCACGAGTGGACTATCGCTTGTGCAGATGGAAAGTTATGGACCAGAATATGAATTATGAAAGATGTTGGTTCCAGTTTAGGGTTCCGCCTGACGGTTCCTCCCTAAACGGGATTGGTCTTTCACTTCTGAACCACCCCCTGCTGGGAAACTTTAAAACAGGCTGCCAAGCCTAAGGAAGTTAAGTTAAAGACATCTCCCATTCTTAACATCAATATACCACCTGGGGAGACCTGTGCCTTTCGCTCTGAAACGTGATTTGCTTCCATCCAAGGCTTAATGGCAAGTAACTTAACCCTTTAACTTCTCCTGTTATCTCTTTGCTGTGCTGTTTTATATATATATATTTATTTATTTATCGGGTTTATATAGCGCCAAAGGGTTTGCTCAGCGCTGTACAATAGAGGGGGGGACAATACATGAAACAGTACAGTAACATCAAACAGCAAGGGGAAAGAGAGGCCCTACTCTTTCGAGCTTACAATCTAGGAGATTGTAGCTCGAAAGAGTAGCTCTATATATATATATATATATATATATTGAAAATCTGTGGAGGGAGCTGAAAGTTTGACATCTTCTCTGTAAATAAACCTTTACTGCACCTGTTTGACCCTTTTAGTAAAAAAAAATCTTTCTGAAAGTGTTGAACTGTTCCTATAGCTCTGTATTGCAACTCACGAATTCCTGCCTCTAAAGAGACGCTACTGTGGTTGTTTAAACCTCTGTATAACCGGCCTGCGGACCGTTTTATACAAACGATTATCTCCATCATTATAGTGTTATAGCTGATAACGCCGAGTTTCCTCTTTCTCTGTACAAAAAGAGGAGGTGGTGGCAGTGTTAATTGTGTAATTAACCTGACCCAGTAACAATCGCTCATGCTGACAGCACATCGATCTGTTGTCCATTAGCTGCAAAATCGTTGTGCTGGGGGTGGCATTGTTACGCACGTTACATCACGGTTGTAGATCGGTTAGCCCTTCGGTCACGAGTTTGGTGAGAAGGTCTGGGGGAAGGCTGATGCCGTGATCAGGACAGGAGAGGGGAGGGAGAATTTGATTATAAACTGGGTAGACAGATCAGACAGGGGTCAGCACTTATTGGGGGGTGGAATGGGGAAAGATGGGGGGAGGGCTATGGCAGATGATAAGAAGGTTCCCATGTTACAAACAACCAGTGGAATTGGTACCATTTGTATGAAAATAAAAAATACACAAAATCCGTGTGAACAAGGTGTCGGTGAATGAACAAGGTGTCGGTGAATGAACAAGGTGTCAGTGAATGAACAAGGTGTCAGTGAATGAACAAGGTGTCAGTGAATGAACAAGGTGTCAGTGAATGAAAGTGTTTGTTCCCCAATGCCAGAAGTGTGCCCAGCACAATAGGTGAGTTGGAAGGTTTGGTGCATGAAGAGAACTAGGATTGAATTGGTATTGCTGAATCTTGGCTTCATTCCTCACATGACTGGGCCATTCATATTCCTGGCTAGGTTCTCTTTCGGAGAGACGGGGGAAATAGGAAAGGTGGTGGAGTCTGTCTCTATGTGAGAAGTGATCTCAGAGTGAGTGTGAAAGAGGACCTAGTTGATGGAGAGTGTGATGAGGCTGAAGTATTATGGGTGGAACTGCACATGGGGGGCGGTACTACAAAGGTCATCATTGGAGTTTGTTATAGGCCTCCAGTGTTAATGAGGAGGTGGAGACTCAGCTCCTCGCACAGATGGAAAGGGCTGGGACAGTGATAATAATGGGGGATGGTAACGACCCGGAAAGTGACTGGAGTAATGGCACTGCAGGTGTAAACACAAACAACCCCTCCTGCCCTCTATGGCCCAGAACAAGGGTGGATAGATGGACCCCGAACTTGAAGAAATTCCCACCAAGGCATCAAAGGTTGTGCGGCTCTAAACAAGGCTGGGGAAGCCCCACCAATACTGTAAAGCAAAACAAAAAGAAAGTACACCAACCTTGTGCATTACCTCAGTAAAATGTGATTTTATTGGATGTGAAAATATCTCACAAACAGAGAAGTATAAGAAGCGTGTAAAGTCCTTAGTGAGACTTGACCAATCAGAGACCAGCGCGAGTCTAAACACGAGGGAAGTTTCTCAGAGTCAGTCGACGCGTTTCGAAGGGAGTCCCTTCTTCATCAGAGCTGACTTGGCAATGACAGCCCTCTTCAATATATACCCTGGGACAGAGGTTGGACCCTCCCACTTGGGTTGGGCAGTCCCGGGAAAGGAGGCGGGACAAAGGTGACATCACAACATGCTCACACAAGCAACAATACATTAAACATCAGGAGGTATAGTAAGAGACATTAGAAACATTCACCGGCATTAAAAGCTGTAAGAAATGCAGGGCAGTGTAATATATACATGAGGAGGTCATATAGTCTGTGTATATATATATATCCCCATATAATAAATAATGACATATTGGGAATGCTGCATTGGGGTTCATGGGGATAATATTGTTGGATCAGCAGAATGTATAAAAAGTAAAAATGAATGAACTGAATACATAATTCCTTTGGATAAAAGCCTGCTGGTTCCTCAATTGTTGGCTTCTTTCCATGGAGATAAATGTGAACACAAAGTAGGTATACACATACATTTCAATGGCAGCCAGAATGTCCTTGCTTTGTGTGGGCTGTCAGTGGGGTCATTGGGCAGATCGTTATCTTTAGATGTATGGAATATTCATGAGTAGTGTTACTATACTGGCAGCAGAGGAAGATCAAGTGCTGCCATTGCCAAATATGGCTTCTGGAGGTGAATTGGAACGAACACCAATAGGTGCAAGGCTGTGGGGGCGCATGCGCAGTGAGGCGCTGCACGCTGGAGTAGTGATGGAGATGGCTCCGACGGGTGCTTTGCTTTCTGAACTCCTTTCTTTTATTTCTGTTGTTTTATTGTTCTCTTTATATCTTTGTTACATCTTTTTCTGTAAATATTTTTAATTGCACCATTTTGACCTTTTTGGTAATAAATTCTATTTTCTGAAAAGTGTTGAACTGTCTCTAAAGTTTTTAATGCAAAATAAAGAATCCTGTCTCTGAAGAGTGTTCCTGTATGTTATAAACTCTGATATCCCTGTCCCTGGAAGAGTGTTCCTGTATGTGATAATCCTCTGATATCCCTGTCCTGGAAAGTGTTTTTGTATGTAATAATCCTCTGATATCCCTGTCCCTGGAAGAGTGTTCCTGTATGTATAAATCCTCTGAATATCCCTGTCCCTGGAAGAGTGTTCCTGTATGTAATAATCCTCTGAATATCCCTGTCTCTGGAGAGTGTTCCTGTATGTGATAATCCTCTGAATATCCCTGTCCCTGGAAGAGTGTTCCTGTATGTAATAATCCTCTGAATATCCCTGTCCCTGGAAGAGTGTTCCTGTATGTGTAATCCTCTGATATCCCTGTCCCTGGATGTTCCTGTATGTGAAATCCTCTGATATCCCTGTCCCTGGAAGAGTGTTCCTGTATGTGATAATCCTCTGATATCCTCTGAATATCCCTGTCCCTGTATGAAGAGTGTTTCCTGTATGTAATAATCCTCTGATATCCCTGTCCCTGGAAGAGTGTATGTAATTCCTGTATGTGATAATCCT